TTTCACGGCCAAAAAGTGAAAATTAAGCGCAAAAAAACGCGAAATACGCAAAAAACGGCGTTATGTTTTTGAGCGTGAGTGGATCACAATCGCGGTTCCCGATTGTAGGGTTTAAACGCGTTTTTCCAAATTCTTGTCTGCTCGGGTAATAATTGAAACTTCATCAAACTTTTTATTGGAATATACAAAAATTTAAACCTTTTTCAAGAGCTTTTATTTACTTTTTCTGTTAATATTGCTTTTGAAAACTTTTGGATAGGCGCCAGTACTGTTTCTTAAATGACCGTATGAAGAGAAGACACTCACGTTGTATTTTTTTAATCAAAAGTAAAGAAAACATATTTTAACCAGTGTCTACTGAGAAATCATAGATTGTGTGTATTTTAGATCATCTTACTCTCATCTCAGAAGATCGAAATGTTCGAAAACCGCTGTTTTCTGTTCGTCTCGCATCATACGAGTAAATCATCTATAAAATGTTCCTCACACTTTAATGATTTCTCTGAAATTCAAGCCGAAAATTTCAAATTTTTTATCTTTAAAACACTCTGTAGGCATCTATTTGTTAGCCAAAGTAGCAAATCAGAAAAAGAGTTCTGATTGTCTTCTAAAAAGTTATATTTTTTATGAATTCAACCTATAATATAAAGCGCTTTTGACTATATTATAACTTTTAGATTCTTATTCTTCAATGAACATCAATGAAAGTTTTCTTGATAATCGAATCCTTTTTCAAATTTTCTATTATAAAAGTAATAAAAACTTCCATTTGCATTGTTCAATTGAATACATAAAGTAATCAAGTAATATTTTGACATAGCCGAGCTTATTCTCATCATGGTTCTCTTTATTTGAGTGTTTTCATACTGACAAGTCTCATTTAAATCTCGTAAAAAATACTATGATGAAATATATGTTCGATTTTATTATGCATATCGAATATACGCTCTCAATGATATTGTCAATTGAACTTTGCATTATTTACTACTAGCTACTATCAATGATGATTGAAAGAATACTGACAAAACATTATAACTAAAGTATTCAAACGAATTGTTCAATCTTGTTTCAAAGGCTTTTAGAAATGCCGATGATTAATATATCAAGATTCAATTTGTATGAAATGACAGAATCTAAAGTGTGAAAATTATAATAAGATTGTTTATTAGATATAAAATGTTGATATACTGAAATTTCTTTGTATCTTTTTCTTCTAGCTACAAAATTCTGTTTCTTCTCAAAAACAAATGATTCTCTCGAATAAGTCCCATAGAATAAAACATCTATGCGTAACTCAAAAATATTTACTTCAAGAGTCATATGAACACAAAAATTGAGCATATAAATACAAAATAAGAGTTTAGTAGAAAATGTAAATGACAAGCATTGTCACAAATGTGTTTAATATATTTGGAATAAATCTTTGTTTTGATTTATTTGGCAAGGCAGTGTCGAGAATTGATAGTTGACTATTGAATTCAAAAACTATCCAAACATCAAATGATTGGTTGAATGATCCATTTATGCCAGATTGCCATTTGTGCCAAGGATAAACTACAGTACTATCATTTCGTAAAACTGGTTTGTTTTGTTCATCGATATCCCATAGAGGACCATGTTCATAAAAAGATGGTAATACTAACTTTTCGAATGCTGAGTCTGGTGTAGTCAATGGATCGTAAACTTCTTTGGAGCTATTGAGATACTGCATGCCACCTTTTCCACCTCCATTGATAATGCACGCATGAATTTCACAGAATGAATCTGTCGCATGATTGTGTACACCAGCATTAACACCTTGCCCAGCAGCCCATAGTTGCATATAGCAAAGATGTTCGTTGTCATCAGCAAAGTTTATTCTGAAACCTTTCAAATTATAAAATTCAAGATCTTTAAACTGTGGTCTCGAGTCATATTTATCATATCTGACAAATTGAAAGTCAAGTTGATGAGTTTCTTGAGAACAGTATTCTGGTAATGAGTTCTCAATGATTACTTTTTGCATATCATCAAGTCTATGAGTATCATTAATATTATTACCTTTTTTGAATACAATCAAGAGAGCGCCTTCATTTCCAGTTGCAATTCTATTATTATCGCTGTATATCTCAAGAGGCGCAACCGTTCTTGGTTCACAGAGAAATGTACGTGAGTGGTTAATGGGTTGAGCTGATTTTGTCGAAGAATCAGTCCACATTATAATTCCAGAAAGAACTTTGATATACGTATTTTTGTCCACTTGACGTGAACTATGAGGTGGTACAATTTCTAATGATAATGTTATTCCATCTATTGTAATAAATGGTAGTTCTTGATATTGTAATGCTTTGTTTGGTCTTGGAACTTTGAATAAAAGATCATTATTTTGTTTCATCACCTGTATTTCTTTTTCAACTTGTGGCTTCTTCTCAGCGAATCGATTGTAAAAAATGTTAATAGAAGGATTTTCTGCTCTGTAATAACCGGGTACATTGTAGCTAATGGTTGCAAAATCAAGACGTGTATCATTATCAAAATCGGCAATAGCAATTCTGGCAGCTGAATCATTACTAACTTTCCATTTGGCAAATAAACCACGAGAGAAATCGATCGACTTATAAAGATAGACACCTTGATTTGGATATGGTCCACGAAGTGCAACTAGGAATTCATCGTCTCCATCTTTATCGAAGTCAGCACAAACAAGATGATGAGCTGGACCTTCGCCATTTTCATTAGGATATCCATAAATATCCAGTACATATCTATTCCATTGACTTTGTTTCGAAGAATTGTTCGTATTATTGATGTAGACTGAAATCACATTTCCATGAAAAGGTTCAATAGCAGGCATATAAGCAAAAGAATCGTTTCCGACTCGTCCTACGTCAATACCGCCACTACCATAGTAAGTTGTTTGTTGTTTTTCTTCTTGTTCACCATCTCCAATATTCTTAATTATCCACTGTTTTAAATTTTGATTAAAATAAAGCCAATTAATACCTTCACTTGATGCAATAAGAAGATTATCCAATTGACCATCATTAAATCGTTTTGCATCATGAATTAGATGAAAAAATTGTTGATTAATAATTTCATAAGGCCATTCTGTAGCATTCAATACGTTATCAGGTTGTCGAAATAACAGTACAGGTACTGCTGAAAGTAAATCATATGGCTTACTAACAATAGGCAAACCTAAAATTTCCCATCGTTTGGTTTGTGTAAAATGACCAACTTTAAGTCTATGCATAGCTGTGGATTTTCCAACATAATGCATTTTCCATAAGTTTTTAACGATACTCTGCCCAGGATTTTCCAACCATATAATCTTTCCTCCTTCAGGATCACTGTCTAGCATTGTATTACCATATTGAAAACAGATAATAATATCATTAATTCCATTGCCTGTTATATCAGCTTGATCCATGGCCACAGGACCATTTAGTTTTTGAATAAGAGTAGCCTTTTCTGGTTCTTTAGTTGTAGATGGATTTTGATAAAATTTTATCTCTCCACTAGCAAGTCCATATGCTACCAATCCAATAGGACTTTGATTGTCTATTTGAAAAGCTTCAATCCAGTATCCATCTTGACGATTTTCTTCGATCAGTTTCTTCTCAAAAGTAGGACTGTAACTTCCATAATCAGTATTTAATTGACTAAGAGAAGTCACCACTATTTCTGGTATCTATTATAAAAAATAAATCGAAGTCATTTCTATTCTATGTTTTCTCCTATCATGCAAATAAACAAATATTTTATTTTTTTTATGAAGCTAGATTTTCAGTCAAGAGAATATATTTCACCGAATAGTTTTGCACAAGTCTCATTTGAAAGAGAAAAAAACTTAACAAAATTATTCATATTTTGTTGCTACGCATTTTAAAGCTTTGACACTTATTAAAACAAGAAATCAGTGAACATATCATATAAAATCAAAGATGGCTTTTGTTGCATCATATTCCAGTATGCATTAGTTTTAAAATCGTAAATAAAATAAATAACTCTATGAGAAACGTCGACTTCATGCTAACATAGATCTACTTGGTACGGTTTTCTTTCAGTTTCAAGCGTATTCAGATGCATTTCAACTAAAGATATCAGACAGGCTTGAGACCACCAAGAAACTCCAGAGAACTACACACAAATTAAATGAATCCTTTCGAAAAAAGATGAATAATATTTCAACATCATCTTCGATAATTGAGACTGCTTAAAATATTCATAGTTTTTGAAAGAAACTAAACTGTTTGAATATATCAATTCTTTCCTAAAGAAATTTGAACATGAACTATTACAATATAGCTTCAAAATAAGTGTGAAGCTCTTAGTCCATGCAGATAGTACTCATCGGAAAAATATATATTTACTGGCTCAAAAATACTCTCAGCATCAAAATGTTGGGTAAGCCATACGAAATCATCATTTTCATACTTCAAAATTATTTAGCTTGTACACTTGTATTTAGGTTGATGTCCACTTTCTGACTAAGATTTTGGACAGAACTTGGCATGATGCACATCTTTCTACATCTCAGAACAGATGGAGTTAGGAGTTCACAAGAATCTTCCATAAGATACAACGTTGAAATGAATCTTTGGTGCCACAAAATAGGACATCAGAAATCACTAGATTCTTGACTGTCTCATCATTCTGGCTGTCTCACGTAAAAGAAATCCTAATCAAAATATCAAATCTATAGAGTTACCGTCAGTTGTAGCAGCACCAGTAGTCTCCATGTTCGGAGAATATTCATTGAATTGAAATTCATGTCAAAACAGTCTAAATAGAAAAACAATAGATTTAAGTTATTTTTTAACATAATATATCACATGAGATAGCAAGCATTCAGTTAAAGTTGGAAAAGACTAATACTGAAAACAAATTAGTGATGATGTCAGACTGTTGAGTTAGATAGAGAATATAATTTCTGTCTCCAGATCTGGATATTGGATATCGATTTTTTCGTCAGCAGTATCTATGTCTACATCACATGCTCATGGATTTTTCCACCACCCGTATTTCCGCCACATGGACCAATGTCTGTTTCGACCACAAATTATGCAAATAGAATTTGTTCGAACCTGTGTCTCACGGCATACTCCTATGTATTTTACAGCTACTATTATCGAAAGACTTATCGAGGGTGTGGGTGTTGACCATCTCTGTAACAACATCCACACCAAATATTCAGTCGAAATAGCATTCAGTATTCAGCCGATATTTTCTGAAATTCTTGTGCTTGATATATTATAATTTAGCAGACGTCGTAAAGTGTTAGCTGAGATCATTCTGATATCCAGAGAATGTCACTAGGATATCACTGTGATGTCAATGGGATATCGTCTCATCTAAGAGAGATTGCCTTTCTAGATTAGACGATATATGATTGATGCCTCATGAATATCAGAATGATTTCTGATAAATTATAGTATTCTGAGCACGAGATTCTCAACATATATTACCTTGATGCTGACTACCATCTCTGTTGAGAAAGAAATAGTATGATATTTCGTTTTTAAGGATATAGCCGAGCGCTTATAAAGTATTCCATTACGGAAGTACACAAGCCTACCAAATGACGAAAGTAAGTGCCATAGGTGACGCATAGTAAATATAGAACAATTTGTTTTTTGCATCGAAACGTTTGACATTCGAGTGTAGGTGTATAATGGTTTCGTTTTAGATGTATTGGTTTGTTTTTCTTCCGTTTTTATTATTTTAGGTATAACATGTGGTAATATTATATTCTTTTCTATGTTAAGTGTGAGCGAAGGAAAACGCAACGAGGAACTAGACTTTGTGTGGGCTTCTAGCATGAAAGTGACGCCATAAAACTATCCTTTTCATATGTGCATGTATATAAAGAAAAAACAAAAGATTAAATTTTCATTTTAAATCATTCGTAGTAGTTAATACTGATACAATGATGAAACCAAATCCAAAAATATTACGACGATTCTTCAGTGAACAAGGACATCAAAATTATGGTTATATCAATGAAGAAAATGAGAAAAAGAAAATATTCCCATCTTCACTTAAACAATATTTTCCAGTATCTATTGGACACGATCAACAGTCAAAGAAGAATTTTCTTCGTCAACTCACATCGCAAACTGAACAGAAATTACAGAAATTGGTTTTCGCTCCTGTTACATCAAAAGTAGAAGATAAAAAAAATGACACTATGTTTATCTCGGTTAAGTCACCTCATACCATTGTTGAAACTGGTCAAAGTTTTCATCGCAATATGAAATCGGGTAGTCAAAGATTCCGTTGGAATCTTTTATTCAATGTTCTAGTTTGGTTGATTGTACCACTTCCATTTTAGATATCTTTTGTTTCCAACAATCTTGCCTACTATTTGTTACCATCCATTCAAGGTGTATTCGTTTTCATGTGGACAAGTAAGTGTATACTCCTATTGAATATCCTACTTTTTGAACTTTCTTTTTTTTTGTTGCAGTTATTGCGATATTGGCTCTGAAAAATGCCTTGATTTTGTATATGAATCATTCTCGTAATTTCACTAAAGAGTATGTTGGTAATGAGCAGATACCCATTCGTCATATTGTTGCCATTAGTTGTTATAAAGAACCTGTAGACTTGATTGCAAGAAGTGTTCAAACGCTAGCAGATCAAACAGAAGTCCGTCGAATAACGATGGTCATCTCATTTGAAGAACGAACGCCGGATGAAGAAAAGAAATGTCAATTTTTGCAAGAAAAATTTCAAAATTGTGGCTTCGAACGCCTTATATACACAACTCATCCATTTGGTTTGCCCAATGAAATACCAGGAAAATGTTCAAATTCAAATTATGGCCTTTGTACGGCCGTTAAGGAAATGGGTATCGTTGAGGGTGAAATGGACCATATTCTCGTGACAACTTGTGATGCAGATTCCAAATTTCCACCCCAATACATTGCTGCATTGACTAGTAAGTATCTCAAAGAGAATAGACCAGCACTGACTACAATCTACCAGTCACCTTTGTTTTACAACTGGAAATTAGATGGTCTATCGTTTGTTACTCGTGTAACGGGTTTGTTACGAAGTTTTCTCATGTTAGGTGCATTAATCCCATTCAACATCAACACAATGAGCATTTTCTCATTCTCACTAAGTCTGGCAAAAAAAGGAGATTTCGTTCATCCCAGCTATCAAATGGATGATATTATTTGTCTCATTCGATGGATGGGTGTGACACAACAACGATTGCGAATATCCATGATACCTGTGCCAGTATTGAGTGGACCTACATCAGGAGAAACAATCGAAAAGGAAATTATCGAATGGGCAAGACAAGCACGTCGCTGGACAATCGGAGCAGCCGAAGTATTCCATTATTTTGCAGTCAAATCAAATCGTATGCCAGCAGTAGCTGCATGTTCTTGGGGCATTGCTTTTCTTATTTATTATGGTGTCATATTGTGTACTGGAGGTTTATTTGGTCTAACAACAATGTTATCAATGATTTTTCTTATCAAAAATGTTCCCCTAGCTGTCTCCTATATCATGTATGGTCTGTTCGCTTTACAAATGCTAACATTTTCAATTGCATTTATCATCGATATATTTATTCCCAAATTATTGAATGTTGATGAATGTATTTTTTTCCTACGTAACTTATTTCATTTCATAACAACACCATTTGTCCTTTTAGCCTATTCATTTGTTGAATTTTATGCACTACATGAAGTCGTGATTTTTGGTAAAAAAGTATGCAAACATGGTGCATCGGCAAAAGGAGCTCTCTAATACTTATAATACGCGACAAAAGTTTCATATTTGTTTTCTGTAAAAGAATAATTTTTGTAACATAGAGTCCGGTTATATTAAATAATAATAAATGTAAGTTAAGCATGATAATCCTAATGTATGCATACAGTTTAGCACTTTAATCAGCTCGGCTAATTTTATTCAACTTCAGGCTTCTTTGTAACAGAGAAATATAACACATAAACATGAAAATGCGAGAAATGTCTAAAATAAATGAGCCTACGATTTTTCAAGGTAAAATCTGTATACTAGCATATAATTATTGTACTTCGTTTGTATTATTTTTTAACAAAAAAAGAATACAACAGAAATAAAGTTTAATTCGTCAACTACTAGTTTTGTTTATCGGTAATTCTCATACTAATTTATTATTGTCGAACTGATCAAAAAGCTATTAGGCACATGAATAATGATTGTACACGTTTATCATTCATTATCGTTTATAACCTTTTTTACGATGTTTATTTTGCTCAACGATTATTTGACGCTAGCTGCTATTACGAACCATGTTAAAAGATATGGATACGCTTGATTTACTAATTGAATACAAGAACTTTTTCTTATAAAGTTTGACTAACAGCATTAAAATTTGAGGTTGGGAGGTCTGGCAAAATAGAACTCCATAAAGTAAGAAAAACTGTATTGAGGTTCTTACTTCGCGAACCCGAAAATTTTTTGTTAGACTTTATCGATAAATTGTTATTTTCACAGAATAGGCTTCCCTGACCGAACAAAGGTGGCTGAAAATTTCGAAAAACTGAATACAAACTCAGATTCTTCGATTCTGAAAAATTTCACTTAAGTATTGTGAAATAGCAATGGTTATTTTTGCAAAATAGACCTTTTCTGACCTAAAACAATTTTAATGGAATAGTATTCACCTCACGACAACCACTTTTTCTCTTAATTTTGATTAGATTCTGTATTAACACAAACAACTGAAACGTACTATTTAGGTCTCCATTGGGTCTCTTAAAATTCCATCTCACACTTCATTCTGTATATTCAACTTTTCTTCCAAACAAAGCAAGATTGAAACCACAAAATGAAGTGTGAGAGAAAATTTTGGAAAACCAAATGAGGTATTTTTTAATTTTGTTTCATGAATATCTTGTGAACCTTGATGCTAAAGAACTGAAACTTTTAGCATAGCTTCTGCATTGCAGTCTAAACACATCGTAAAAAATTTCATGTGATTTGAATTTACCTGACCTATGAACTATTAATATTAACGAATTAAATGATGTCTGATGTCAGTTTTTCTTATTAATATTAATTGTTTGGTAAAGCTACTTATGATTTTCGTTAATGAAGTTGCGCTAACAAAAAGAAAATACTCCGTATCGAATAATATGTTTCTTTCGACACAATATTAAAGTGCTCAAGAATTCAAGCAAGAAATAGATATAATGGCTAGTTAAGTGAACTGTTCTCTATCGGCTCAACAATAACGTTCTTATAGGAAATTATGAAACCTAAAGGTAGTCATGTAATAGTCAAAATCGATTGTAAAGTGAGTGAAAATAGATAAATGAAAGAATGAAGTGAGATCATTCCATTTTGTGATTGATGAATATCTGTCCGTATATTGTAGATGCTACAACGAAAAAAGATCAGTCTAGTATGAAACCTGATAAGTTCCGTGTTGTACCATTTGTTTTTCAGTGTATGATAGGGTAATCGATATTATTTCACTTATTATATTTTTCTTGAAAACAGTTTTGCACACAAATATATCAGAGACATCAAAAAAGAGCTTAGATAAATCACCTTTATGTATTTCCTATAATTTTTAATTAGAATAGTTGAAAATTTGTCAGCAATATTGATGAAATGCATTATGTTTTCCAACCATCGATATGTATGTGACTTAAAGTTCGACCTTCATTCTGGATTGTATTCGGTTAGCTATAGCGAAAGTAGTCAAGTATAGGTGTGGATGGAATAGAATCTTCTTTTCACTCAGAACTCAAGGTACTTCTACAGAATTAATAACTAGACAATGTCTCTACCTTCATCTCACAGATCAAGCTATTAACTATTTTTGATGTAATCTAGACTGCAATCAATCGTTAGATCGAAGATGAAGAAGTACTCTGTTCTGTTAATTACCATCCTTCATATGTGATTTACGACTTTCTCATATTTCTTGTTATGACTAAAGAATTCATCTTGTTGATGTCGCAAGTGTTGTGCTTTCAGGAACAACAAGCGAACGGAAAAATCAAGAGAATTACTGATGTTGCTGTTGTCTTGACTACATGACTTCTATGTATATGTATTTCTTTGAGATGGTTAAAAATTTTAAGAATATAGCTATCAGTTGTGACCAGGATGGTCAAATCGAAGGTTGTAGATGTTCATTAGGATGTGCGTGTGGGTTTCTCCTAAATCAAACCTGCTCTTACACTCAATTGAACAGCAACAAACTCAATCGAGCAGTTTCAAATCTGATGTCTAATAATGCATTCTAAATAGAACATTCATCACTTGACCTTTGTGTCTATTCAATTTTCGAAGTTATCTCGAAAACATATATAACTTCTAAAACAGTTGAAAAATCTTCGATGAAAATGGATTCATCAGGACAATATTTTGAATTACGAGAAAGATTTCTGCAAGAAACAACAATTTGAAATTGGACAGTACATTTTTGTTTACACTTCTTTTCATTTCTATAGAATTGAATCGAGCAGAATCATACTGAAACTAAAATGTTTTGCTAAAACTCGTCACGTCTAAATAATAGAGCAGAAGGACTACCTCCATTACTATGACAGTTAATGCAACATAATTACTTTCTTTATAATTCGCTTTTTCTAGATTCCCAGTGATAGTCATATTCACTAGCAATAAGACAAGTAGCCAGCAAGGATAACAAACAGACAAATACGAAACTTTAGGAATTCGACATGCGGATGTTCACATTGCTTTTTAGTCATGTCAACTAATAATTGAGGCACTGAAAAAGAACTTGTTTACTTCACTTCCTTCTTAAGATTCTCTTTCGGGGGGTCGTACCTTGAAAACACATAAAGGGTGTCCCATCATAAGTGAGAATAAATAATTAACGCTATGTTTCATACTTTTCTTGACATAGAGAGTTGAAATGTTTATGACGAATATATGTCTAATCATGATATTTTATTCTATATATATATATGTGCGTCATAAAAATTTCATTTCTCTACGTCAAGAAAAGTATGACAACATATCATTAATAATTTATTCTCAGTTATTATGAGTCAGCCTGCATCAAGATTCAATGACAATAGGGAATTGCTTAGTTCGACGATGTGATGTGAAGTATATGAAAAAAAATCAATTACGTCTCACTTAGCACCATTTTGTGAAAGACGTCGATTTTCAAATCGCATAACAACTATTCTTCATGTGAAGGATTCGTTTTTCTTTTCAACTATTACCTACAGCCATTTCTTTCTTTCTGATACTAACAGTCGGCAACCAAACTTAATCAACATTTGTGAATCAATAAAAAATGCACGAACAAAATACACAAAACAACATCAACGTTTAACTGCTCGCTAGAGAAATGGTTATATTAAATGCTTTTTCGACAAGAATGAGTGCTTTTCTTTCTTACCGTAAAGGGTGTGGATGTGAATGTTCATCATCATCTCAACAAAACCCACACACCGTCAAGTTCAAAGCTTTGAAGAGACTTTGACCATGAGAGTTTATTTTATCAAAGTATCTTTTCACATGTGAGAGAAACCTCCCTTCAATTGATAAAATACAATAAGATACGAGACAATAGATACAATACAATGTTATTCATCGATCTTTCAAGGATAATCTAATCTGTAGAGAAGAAACTGTTTTTTTCGTTTCCGCTTATTTCACGGCTTCGATTAAAACAAAAACGATTGCAGTTAAGAGAAGGTCAAGTGCTGGCGCATGTGTGGATTAGAGTCCATCAGGTCCAAGAATTTTGGGATCTGAACCCGATCCGCAACCAGATGTAAAATTCTTATTTGAACCCGGATTTGGACCCGATCGATCAAAATTTTGGATTCCAACCTGATTGCGTAACTCTTTCTGGGTATAGTTTCTCGAATCCAAAACTTTGTAGAGGTCGATACACGGACTCTGTCGACTCAAATTTTTCAGGTTCTGACGCAACCAAGTGAGGATGCGGGTTTGTGTGGAATCCGATAGATTTTAGGGTGCGTGGGCGTGAATTTTCTTGAAATAAAAACACAGAGACATGATCATGCCGATACCCACACTCACACCTCTCTCAGATGGGAGAGTTATGTTGGTCGGTTTTTCGGTCTTCTTTCGAGAATGGTCGTACGTATCGAGATGCGGTTTTCACAATTCAGTAGAGCTCGTTGAATTGCGCTTGGAACAAAGAGTTTTGTTGGAACAATTTCCTGGACGAATCGGTCTAAAAATATTCGAATCTGGACCTAAGATATCCGACGTGCTGTAAGAACAAATTAGACGATGCAATTAAAATATTTCAAAGTTTTGTCATAGCACTGATAGTAATAAGTTTTAAGTTATCTGCATATCTTTCAAATTTCTCGATAGTTGATTGAGGTGTTGTCAGGATATTTGTGGTGCCATATTTACGAATGCCTTTGTTAACATATTGTTTGATCGACAAGGGGAACAAATAAATTCTTTATAATTCCGTTTTATAAACGAGAAAACGACAACACATTCTACGAAACTTCATTCAGTATAAATATCATGAGTTGTGAAGATAGGAGTTCAACTCGACGCACACGAAAGTGTGAACGTGGGTATGCTGGTGTGTGCATGTCCATTACAGAGGAAACAACACTCACACCCACACCTACATCCTTTTTATTCGTCATACCAGTCCAATATAAAGCCACAGATGACTATTAACTTGATCCGAAAGTGGACATAGTAGACCACAATAGTCATGCTCAAATAGAATCAGATAATTAAAATTGTTTTCCAATTAATGCAGCTCTGTAGAATGCCTCGTTAGTTAATTTGCGCCAAATCTTTTGATATAGTTTATCTGGTTTTAACTTTTCGTATAGTCATTATTGTCATAATATCTATTTTTATTTTCTGGACAATCGACTTTTCGATCTTAGAGCAAGGCAAAAGGTAAGTTCAAGGCGAAAAGTGGCGGGACAACATCATCCTATCAAGGGAACAATGAAATTGCATGTGGCGACACGCTCGTATTTTCTGCAAATTCGCATCCTAATTGTAGCGTGTCAGTGTATATTTTAGCTGGGTTGGATATGGATATTAAAATTTATTTATATATCTGTCAAAGCGCAAAGTTTGCGAATACAGTACAAACGACAATGTTATCCCATCCAAGAAATAACAAGAATTGCAGCAATTGTTCCTGATCAATGTGAAACTTGAATTATTAAAATTACATATGATATGATTCCCCTAACATTAAAGCTGTATTTTGATCTGTCGACATTTCTTTTTTTATTCGTTCAATCGAGTTCGGATGATCCGAAAGAACACCTGAGTTTTTAATAGGATGATTCGATTCTGAAGTACAAATCTTAAAATTTGTATCTTTCTTCCTTTATGTTATTCGAAAAAGAAAAAAGTGTTTAGTATACCAATGCATATTGAAAGAAAAATTTCATAGAAAACGGTACCAATTGCTACATATCTTCTATGAAGAACGGAAGATTCTTTTTGAATGTATCATGTAACGCTGTTCGTTATGTTGAATGGTAATCCTGTTCCGATGCGTGTCTTATGTCCATTTCTGCACGCATCCATTGGGCTTTAGACATACAGATATTTTTCAGATATTTAGCAGTACTACAAAATAATAAGAAATAAGTGTTGTCCAATCTGCTCGTAGAAAATGATCATTGAATTGTGGCAAAGATTATTAATTGGAACGTATTCATTATAGTCTAACATTTTTTGCAGATGTCAAACAAAAAATATCGATATGAAAAACAAAGTGACTGATCGAAGTGAAGACCAAGAGTATGCAATCGTTGTAAGAAGGCGTTTGGGCCGCTTATCGAATACGCAAAAAAAAACATTTATGTCATCTTAGCAGACAATATGATGATTGTAGATTACACAGTACTGTGTAATATGTAATCTAGTGTAGTTTAACCAAAAGAGAATACAAAATATGAAAATGATATCTACTGTTCTGACTTTTTTGAATTTTTTCTTTTGTTAAAAGCACGAGCCATTCGCACTTGACACTGATTAGCGTATCGCATTGAACTAGTATTGCTTGACGGAGCGTATGTACCTCGTTCCGTTCTATGGCACATATAATTATTCTGTTGGGATGATCGATAGTCACGTTCTGTTGGATAGTGATATTCAAGATCTTTAATTAGCTTACGACAGAAGAGATCTTGTGCAGATACACTGGCATTGATCTTGTCTACTTGAGCTTTGAGAATAGCACGAGATTGTCGATAGTCATCCTCAGCCATTGCTCGTTCGAGTGCATGTGCCGTTTCTACTCGATTTCGTTGAATGTCAAGCACATGATTGACGCGAAGAAGATCATTTGGAAGATGAGAACCTCGTACTAAATTGAAAGAAACTGGATTTGTTGTTATTGTGCGACTAGTATTGGGATCCACGTAGATAACAGTCACATGACCTATTCAAAATGAAACAATTGAACAATGATAATAATGTCACACTCAAAAACGGAATCAGCTGTTACTCATATTTACCAATGATCTGGTTTTCAAATAGTTGTATTTCTTCTGAAGATTGAGTCAATGACATTGGTTGTTGACTTATCATGTCTATATTTTGTTCATTATTATCTACTTTGGGTACATGTAATTGAAATACAAGATTTAGCTTTTCTTCGGCATTCAAATCATGTAACTTGACATTGAGTTTTGTCGAGGGTAATTGCTCAGGTTCATATTTATATTTCGAATGAACATGAGTGATCTTATAGTCTCCAGTGAATTCGATGTTGACATGAAGTTGCTGTGCAACACATGTGAATAGGCCACCTAGAGCCATCGCGAATGCAGGACCTATTGCTTGTTGTTCATCCTGTTAAAAAGATTCATCAACATATTATATATCATCATAATTTCAATATCGAATAGTCAAGTTCAACTTACGATGTAAGTGAATGTCCCTCCATTGCCTTGTTCGGTTATTTGCACCAGTAATGAGGCCGTATGATCGGGTCCGTAACCAAATGTGTGGCACTGAACAGTACTGGGTAAAGTTTGCATTAGTAGCGTATAGTCATGACTGTCATTGTCTTGGCCATCGGTGAGCAAGAGTAAAGCATGCAATGGATTTTTTGTTTGACGAGTAGTAAACAATTTGATGCCCATTTCCAAACCCTTTCCGATATAAGTACCACCTCGACTGGTAATATCAGTATTGATTGCATCAGTCAAGATTTGTTTACTAAAAATTGGTCGAAAAAAAATCGTACGATATGTCAAAGACTAAATGCCTACTAATAAAATTGCTTCAATAAAAAGCTATAGGCAACTTTTTCTGAATATTTCACACCTGTGCATTGTGATACGTCACGTATGTTTGTTAAAATTTTCTTCTTCTCTCGACCACTCAGTTATCGACCGTTTTATACAGAAAGAGTAGATACAAAAGCATTCCTGTTGCATTTTTTTGCAGAATGTAATAAATAAAAGAAAAGATCGTCTCGCTACCTCAAACCTTGACGATCGTGCAGTGCTCTCTTCTCTACGCAATCGATATTCAGTGGTAGAGGTAACATTGTAGTATGTTTTACAAATAGTTAATTCACAATTAACCTAATTACCAATAATATTGATAAACAAAGTAAAGTATAACATCCGAAAATCAATAAATAGTCTAAATGAGTTCTATNATCGGCCCGAACAATACTATGTTTTGTCCTTGTAATAGTGGAGAAAACCTTTCCTGATTCATTTTTATACTTAAATTTCCCATATCTTGAAATTCAAGGATCTCTGTCCAGGCATGCCATACGCAGCTAATATTTTAAATTCGTTAGTTTCTCGGTGAAAGTGATCTTTTGATAACAACCGGATCATCCAATTCGCTTATCAATACAAACCCTTCCATTGTGAGTACCTATATTCATTTTGTGCATATGTGGGTGTGTAAGCGTTTGAAAGGAGAATTCTAATATTCATTGCTCATACTGAGAGTTGTAGTAGTCCTTTGGCAATAGTCACAATTTGTAATTTTTATTTTCTTAGTTAGGTGAAGACAACTCACTGCCTATATGCAATCAAAAATCAATAGTCAATATTATCAAGATGATGAACAATAATACTCGACAATATCCATACCCTTCCCGTGTTCGTGTTACTGGTTCTCGTCTGACATATCCTCAGTTTCAATACCAGCATCCGGCGGCCAGCAAAATTTGCGACTATTTTTCTGGTCGATTTTGAATATATGTATTGGTGATATCGTACCTGGTCTTATCGCTGTCTTGTTCTCATATTTCACACGCGAAAACAAGATAGAGAATAAATTTATCGAAGCTCGAAAATGGAGCAAGATAACACTAATTTGCAATATTCTTACAACTGTGCTGGGCATTCTTACTATTTGTCTTGTAATCGCCATTGCTATCGGCTTGAGCGTGGGATTCTCCAAAACAGTATCATCATCAAGTTTCACAAACTCATCAAGCTCCAACTCATCATCTGTATTATGTATTTCTATGCCCACCAGCAACCATCTCAATTATACCGTACCCGTTTGCTTGGGATCGTGTAACAAGAGAGCAACTTTCTGTGGCGGCTGTGCTGCTGCTTGCAGTGTCGGAGTGGTCTGCACAAGTGGTAGCATTACTGGGTGAATGTTGCTAATATAATATTCTTGTGGTTATCTTAAAAACTGTTTTTTTTTTATTCTGTTATTTTCAATAGGTTTTGCTCAGTCAAATAATACAGTGGTGACCAATATAGTTTTCATTATTGTCTACATTTTATTCAAGAATCAATAAACAAACGAACTCTATTTCTAACTACATTTTTTTATTTTTCATCTTTTTCTACTGCAAATGTAAATATTTCCTAAGCTACTAACAATGTAATCTAGAAATAAAAATATTTATAATCGTAACCATGCGGTGCAGTAATATTCAAGATCATTTGGAATGTGCGATAGTTCTTTGCAGGCTTCACACGAGTCGAAAGAGAGAGAGCTAAAGACGAAAAATATGAAACGATAAGTATTCTTCGTATACTGTTCAGAGATTTTATCTTATATATGACATACCTCAAAAAAGAAATAATTTTAATGAGAATGTTTATTCACCTATGACCAGTAAGGTCCGCAAACAGTTCAATAGTAAACCATTATTTTTATTCCATCAAACCGTATTCATGAGCAGTAATAGCAAAAAGAATATACGAAAACTGAGGAAGAAGAATACCCTGCCTTTCGGCTACCTTGCGGTATGCGGTGTTGTTCAAAGACAGTTTCAAACGTTCGATGTTTTTCTACAAATATTACTAGCCGTAGTCCTGGACAGACGACTGGCCTGACTCAGAGTTGCCACATACTAGTCACAAGGACTTTTGTGCATGTCAACAACATAGTCAATGTGCTATCGAATGGATGGTTCGAGACAAACAGCCATTAGTGACTTCTCAAAGATCAATCTATGTCTGATGATGTTGAGGTTCGAACACAGTACCTTGTGAATATATGTTGAACACCTAAATTACTGAGTCATAGCGGCTTCTACGAAAACTGGCTTGATGAGAACTATCATCTTGTCTTTCATGGACCATAACAGAAATGTTATGACAAATAAGAGATGCGATTTTCAAAACTGACTTACTTGTTACATGAAATGGTCATCATAACAACTCTATTTCATATAATTTTATCGAGCTTATGCTCAACTAACAAAGAATTTTGGCTCTCTAATAGTAGTCAACAATATCTTGTGTCTGATTCAACACAATCATACAAAAAAAAATAACTCGAACAACATCAAATCACTCTCATGACTGCTTCAGCTAGTATGATTCAACAAAGCTAAAATTGTGATCACTATACATTCAACTCACAAGCATAAGACGATTCCAACATTAGTTATTCAAATGTTCTCATAACAGTATCATGCAAAAGCTTCTTTTCTATATAGAACTCATCCTTTCCAAAGAATGATTGCATTTAAAACTACCTCAGAAGACCTCTGAGAAATATCGAAACGCATCGAAAGTGGCTTCTTTGAATTCAATAAGGATATGCCGACTTCGTTTTGCATTTTTCTAAATGATTTCGAATAAAAAGATACAGTCAAAGCCAACTGATGATTGCCTTTTCGATGACATGAAACCTGGATCTTGGCATTCCGAGAAATATGGCTGTTGCTATTTATACGTTGCCATAGATTTTGATTTCTCATTATGTTTAGTTTAATGCTATCCATAATAGAATAAGTATTATTCCTGTGATTTTTGAGTAATCATATGGAATTATTGCCATCTGATGAAATCCTTAAGCGAGATCGAAAGATGTGTCATAGCAGCTTGACACTGTGAGGAATCGAAAAGTGTAAAAGAAGCCAACTATGATAACAATTCACATTCCATCATGTTCTTGTTCATTTATATTACCAACCCAAGTAAGCAAAAAATGACTGATGACAGGCAACTTGACTAGGCCGAAAAATTCGGAATACCCGCCATATCGAGTCTATCACGAATGATGATACTCTCTACATTGCCAATGTTTATAATGACCGAATCGTTTTAATTGGATCCAACTCAACTATGATTCTAGCTATTATTCAAAATTATATCTATTTCTTGGACACGTTCAACTATCGAGTGATAAAATTATTCAAAAATCGAACAAATTCAGTCACCGTCGTCGGAATCAATGGTGTATCTGGGAGCTATTTAAATGCATCAACAATCGGCTATTGCTACAATATATTCGTCGACAATAATGAAAACTTATGTGTTAGTGGAAATGATGCTTCACAGCTCAGTGTAACACGCGGAATATTTGTCAATAAAGTTGAAACATTGTATGTTACGGATTATTGGAATCATAGAGTCCAAAGATGGAATAATGGAGCTTCGTTTGGTGTGACGGTGGCAAGTACCGGAGTGAGTGGTAATAGTTTATCTATGCTATATTGTCCAACTTCGATGGCCACCAAATTCGAATTCTGGTGAATGTATTGTGGCTCATAGTGGTACTTTGGAAATAGGAGTTAATATGCTGAATATGCCGTTTACATCGGCATTCGATAGCAATGGGTCTCTCTTTATTTGCGATGTCAGTAACTGTATTGATAATATTTTTTTGTCCACAAAATATCTCATAGCAGTATCAGTTACTTATCCTATAATTTTCTAGCTTTTCTTCCGGAACGGTTGGAACTTAAGCGACTTTGTCCTTCGCTTCAGCACCATACAATGAATAAGAAAGTGTGCCAATGACTCGGTTGCTTTCATACTTAACTCGCTTATCACTTTTGTACTGCTGTGTCCATGTAAAAGTATGTTTTCTATATTACTGAATTAGTGGAACGAGATTTTGTGAATCGTATTCTTGTGTTATTATATGCTTCACCTGAAATTTGCTTTTGTCAATGAAGCTTCATGCGTGAAGCCGATATAAGTAAACTACTATACAATTTCAAAAATAAATCTTGGATACATGTGTTTATCTGAGGGTCATCTAGTTCAACATTTTTCAGGTTTTGCCTTCGTATGACAGATCTACACGTTTTTGAGTATGCCTATGCCTATTAATTCATTTTTTCGCTCTTATCTGCCTATAAAAACTTTTCTGTTTTCTTCTCTCCTATATTGTGAAAAAAAATCGAATCAATTATTAATCTCTAGAGAAAGTTAAACAAGTTGCTGAAATTAGTTTAACATTTCAATAGTAAGAGCTTTCTAATGTGAACATCCAAAGCAATATGTAAAAGTGTTCACTGTAGAAAGGTTTTTTTCTAATTGATAGAGATCAAAAAAGCATTGACACTTCACTATAAGAACCTATTCACTATA